CCCATACAAACCCCCATATCTTTTACACGTTTGTTTGAATAATCAAGAACTGGACCATGCCTGGGTTGTCTAGTCTTTACGTAATAAATTGTATTTCTTTGTGTTGGAAAAATATTTTACACGTTGTTTGAAATCAAAGGTAATCTCCAAATTAGTCCAAGTTTTGTCATTATGCTAAAAGTTGGACTGCTTGAAGCTTTTGGGACACCTGTGTTTTTTAGATAAGGTTGAAATTATTGACATTAATCAAAATAAGAAATAAAATCACCAATTCCAATAAGTAATTTATCAACTATGCTAAATCCTAATCTCTATTTTAACCAGGCTTTTCTTTTCTTTCCTGGTTAACAATGGAAATGCTGAAAGAATATGAAGCTATATATAATGTGTCATAAGAAAGTAAATTAATTAAGTGTATCTTGAAGTGTTGGCAAGAGGTGAGCCATTAAGGAAGTGGGGGACGAGTGAAAGAGCTCTCTTGGGCTGGTAGTTGGCAACTTATTGTTAGGTAAGTTGACCAGCTGCTGGTCCATGGCTACTAACTTGATAGGGACTTGGGCCAGCTGCTGCTTCCACGGCTGCTAGCTTGATAAGGACTTGTGCTGCTCGAAAATTTTCATCTGTCTTCTTCATGGTTTCTGAATCTGATTGTTAATTGATTCCTGGGAACCATATCACGCTGATTCACCGTTCACTAAACGAATGATAAACGACCACTCAAAATTATACCAGTATTCAAACAACATGCAGATTGTTCTGTTCCAGAAAATTCTGAAGTCTGAGAAAAGTATATTCCTGCCAGAAACTGCGTAAGACGACATGATATGTACATCTTGTGAGAGAGAGGAGGAAGAGATATAAATGATAAGAGAGAAGCTAAAATTCTGGTTTTAAATTTTTAATGAAAGGCTTCAATGATGAACAAGGGAATGAGCACAATCAAGTAGTAAAAGCCCATCAGGATGCTTACCATCGAACCAAAAAGATATTGACAACATTTTCAGTGTTGGTATATCACAGTAAATTCTACCTAATTGTTGATGTTTAGATAAGAGCACAAGGATCAGACCCATAATATTTTAATGAGAAAACATCATGAGATCTGGAAATCAAAATTGGACACGCCAAGGTTTTTTATTCTTTCACGCAAAATATGTTGGATTTTAAAAAAATTTCCAAATTGATGTAGTTTTCTGAGGTGAATGATACATGTTTGCCAAGGTTGTTTATTCTTTCATATGAAATTTTGGTAGATTGGTTATGCATCATACTTATCTACAGCCATTCTGAACAATTATTCTTTTGGTGTGGTGGAAAGCATATTCACATGCAGACTTTTACAAGGATATTGGTAATGCCCACTGTTTGTGTTCATCTTATTCTATTGTTCGAATTATATTCCTCCCTGGTCACTGAGGTTGAATAGAATCTATTCAATATACTGTGGGCAAGTCTACAACATACCTCACCTAACTGTGGTCTGTGGCACATGCTAAATCAGCAAATTGGGAAAGAAAAATCAGTGTCGCATTCTTTAATAAGCAAGTAGTATATTTGTAGCGCTGAATTTTTTCTTTTTTCATGCAGCAGGACGAAAAACTCTGATATTCCTACGTCATGGAAGAGGAAGAATATGAACGTTGCATATTGCCCACATAATTTGTCCACTGGATCTTGATGTGCATGTCCCAGCATGTGAGAGTCTTGAATGCTTGGAAATCGATGGCAACTCTTTTTTGGCATACTTGCGGTATGCATGCCATTCGGCAATGCTCTTAAACAACTGACGATCAGTAAATGTCCAGGCCTTGGATCCAGCTGCACCTGGGAATGGCTTCTTTGAGTCTTTGGACTTCAATGGTTGTTTCTTCCCTGCCAATCCGAGACTATTTTCCTACACTCTTAAAAAATTGAAAACCATTACGACAAATTCAGAATAATACTCACAGGTGGATGGAACAAAAAGGTTGGTTCTGTACCCAGAAATTCTCTAAGTCTAGAAGAAAAAAAGTTAACACCTGCCAGAAACTGCATAAGACGGCTTGTGAGAGATGCAGGAGGCCAGTTTCATGATGGCTTAATGGAGGCTTGATTGATGAACAAGGGAATGATCATCATCAAGTAGTAAAAACCCTCCAGGATGCAAAACGGAACCAAAGAAGATCCTGGGCAACATGTGGGTGATGTTTTAACACAATTGTCCTAGTCTACTTGATATGCTTATATTACTAAAACAGTCTCAACCCCCGCACAAGGCAACCCCCATAGACTTTTTATACATTACAAGTTAAACCCCATTAAGGTCCTGGAAATCAGGAATTGGACCAACCCAGGTTGTTGTCTTTCACGTGAATGATTTCTTCAGGGGTTTGGTGGATGATGAAATGTGATCTCCAAGTTGCCAAGTGTTTGTCATATTTGCTGAAAGTTGACTGGCTGAATCTTTTGGGACACTGTGTTATTATGATAAGGTTGAGATATATATATGCCATTAATATTTGTTATACTTGGAAATTATTGACAAGAAACAAATTAAGAGAAAAATTACCAATTCCAATAAGAGATTTACCAACTATGCTAACCAATCCCCTATTAAATCAGGCTTTTCTTTCTTTTCCTGTCCGGTAAAACAATGGAAATGCTCAAACATTGAAGCTATATAATCATAATGAAGCTGAATTAATTAGTGTATCTTGAAGTATTGGGAAGGGGTGAGCCATTAAGGAAGTGGGAGGACGAGTGGAAAGTGTCTCTTGGGCTGGAAGCTTGGCACCTGATGCCCAGCTCCTCTCACTGTGGCAAATGTCAAATCCCCTTGTACACTTGTGTATATCCACAACCTGTCAACACAAACACAACATTGAATTAAGATCTAATTATTAACCAAAAAAAAAAAAAATTCTTAATAAGAATGTCAAGCCAAATCCGCGGATTGGGTATCGTCGTTTGAACTGAACGAGTCAAGTTGAACCCAATCCGCCCTCTAATTGCGTGAATGCGGGTTGTACCAAACAGTTTGGATTCGGTAGTGGATATAAAAAACCCAACCGTTTATCTGTTTTTAAAATAAGATACATTTCCAAAAAACTAGAAATGAACTCTCAAAAGTTCGTATTGTCATCTCCATATTCAATGTCTAATCTCATTGTTAGTAGGTTTTTAAGTCTACGCATTGATGTGTAGTGTTACATATTGGGAACCCTCGATCAACCTTCAAAACTCAACCCAATTCGACCCATAAAGCCCAACTCACACCAACCCAGCCATTTTGGGTTGGGTTTTGCCACAGAAATTTAGAAAGGATTAAGGAAGAGGTAAAATTTACCTCGCCACCATGAAACCAGCATGCCATGGAGTTTTGATAGGAAGGTTCATCGGTGTTATAGACATCGGGTTGAAGTACTGGCACTCTTCCATCTGTGTCACCACTGCAAAATTTCGATCATAGGAAAGATTCGTCAAAATTAAGATAGAATGAATGTACATATAAAAGAGGGTGAGTAATGAATAATTTATTTTCTATCATATGGTAGCTGCAGTAAAGTCCTCAACCCATATGGCAATAATCAATATTTTATGTTTGAAATTGACTTTGATCCATTACACTTTTAATGATGAACAGCCAAATGAGGGACCTATACATGCACGTTTTCCACAAAAGTAGAAGTGAGAGAGATGAAATCTATGAAAAGCTCGGGTCCAATGTGTTTCATAGCAAAAGCCTTAGCCTTTATTATCATTATCCCATCACTGACAAACAAATGATATACCTCTGGAATCCGATAGAGAAATTTAACTGAAATTAATGGTTTTAATTTACTGAATATCCAGACTCGAAGCCCGTTTGACATGAACTCTTGTAGGAGGAGTAACTGTTGAAGGGCTATCATTCCAATTTTGAAGGATGCACTGCATGGCTCCCAGTCATGGCCAAGTTTTGTGACGTTTGCATGCATAGCTTCTTGAAAATCGGGCCTATTTAGATAAGCATAACATAGTAATCGCTGCATGGATCGAAATTCATGATCTGCACACAACCAATTAATCAATCAATTTCTTGAGTTTCAGAATTGTTTGATTGGAAACTTTTAGCTGATGTTAACTTATGAGGCCCCTTTGGGGTGGGCAGTGAGATTGGAATGAACGCATAAGGGGATAGATGTTGTATATGTCCAGTAGTAAAAGTTCTGGTTAACAACTTGAGTGGCTGCATCGCAGTCATCGGATTGATTTGAGGCATTGGATGAAAAATCACAGGATTTTTGGATTTGATCTGCAACTTCATACGAAATTAGAGCATGATTTTTGAAGTACTCATACATCTCTAAAATCAGTTTCATCATTGATCACAGCATTCCCAACTGCATATATTTGATTAATTTGTTATTGAGAAGAAAATTAAGTTTCCGTCATCATTGGAACAAAATGGATTCAACAAAACTGTTTCCCGAAAGGGAACTAAGTGTGTGAATGTGGGGACTGCTAGCTGGACCAAAGAGGACCCCATAGCAGCCTGGTTTACTTTATACAACCCAAATACTTTGATGTCTAAAGCAAACAAAGTTAACATTTACGTTGAAAGGATACATCTAAAAATGAGTGACATACACACCAAAAATGATTGATCATAGACACGGCCTGATAGACGCCCAATACACCTATAGTCTCACATTAACTTTATTGATTTTGGAAACCATCTGATATTTTATTGGATTCACATTCCCATTAAGACCTTCTAGATTATCAAACAAATTAAGGCCTTCTAGGACATCATGAATCCTTTTTTTGTGATTATTATATTACCCACAGGTAGAACAGACAGAAAAGATCAATAAGACTTATCATCTACAACCTACCCCAAAAAAAAAGTCAGAGATACTAAGAATTCTATTAAGTGTTTGGGTAAAAATCACATTAGTAAAGTATTAACAGAAAGCTGGCTTTTAGTTTAAATACAACAATTAAGGATGGTGAAGCAGTTAGTTTTTATGGAGTCATACCTGATCACCTACACCAGTAAGAACCAAGCCTCTCTTCATACGGCACTGATCAACCCTAAGAGAAAGCACTTTTAAAACACAATACACACAATCCATATGCCTATGCATACCCAAAAAAGAAGACATAAGATTCAATATCTGTTAAAAGCGATAGTTCATTGTGTTTTCTATCATGGCAACAGAGTTTTGCAATGACTAAGACCATAGGGGAGGCCTAAGAATAACGCAAACGCATCCAACACTCCTCTCAACGCTTTAATCATCTTCTCCTCAACCTACCCCCTTCTTTTCAATCCCACCCATCTTTATCATTGTATTTTTCAATTATGATTCCTTATTAAAACCCTTCTAAAACCAATCCACACAAGTTCGGTGGCTAAGCAGTTTCATTCTCTTGTCATAAGCAAACCCCATGACATAATAACAGGTTTCACAAAAAATTGAAATTTGAACCATTTAAAAAAAATATAAAGGCCTCTTATAAGCAAGCACCAATTCGGTATTAGTTCTACACTTTCAGCAAATTGATTTGTAACTGACTGCAACTTTAAGTGACATTTTAGCTGTTTAAAATATTTTCAACGTCTAAAAGTACAATCGAATTAAAAATCCATGCAAATCAAAATAAAACAAATGTGATAGGTTATTACGGGGATGAATGGCCATTCCATTGATTGATGTCAATGCGTCCTTCGACCAAAGACAACCTATGATGGTTCATAGCAAGCTCCTCTAGATACATCCTCATTGAAGAACTCGATCTCGAAGTATTGGAAAAGCCACGTGAATCATTCTGCAGCTTGTAATACAGTGCTTGCAGTAACTTACATCTACTAATTATCGCATTCCTTCATCAAAAGAAAATAATATCAAAGTCAATTATATTTTAGCTATAGTCAACGTGATTAATTTTAATAAACAGTTAATTATCCAGTTATGAAGATATTTCACCAGGACTTGCAAACGAGAGAGCATCGAACGAGGTCGAAGAGATCGAGAGATGAGAAGATTGTACAAAGGATGTCGCGATCGAGAGACTCGATAGTCGTAGGAGGTTTCGAGCTTCTCTTCTTCGACGGTGAACGACAACCGGAAGTTGTCAATTCCATGGGCGCCTCGCTGTCGGCGGCCAAGACACTAGTACAGTTTACAAAATGCCAGTGGCGCCAGCGGGAGAAGACACAACAGAGACTCCGATTTCAGTTTAGTAATTAGGAAAAAATAGTTTACAGAAGTACAGAACCCATGCCTTTTGAGATTTAAACCGCGGTGTTGGTCCTGTTGGATGATTGTATATGAAAGAATTATTGGGTTGAGGCCTTCGGCCCAAAATTTCGTCCATATGGAGATACCAGATGGTCTCCGGCCCATTACCCCCAAGCCCGAGGTTCTTCACCTTCAACTTAAACGTAGAAACAAACATAGCACCATAAAAAGATTTCGGACAGTTTAGACATAATTATTTATCCCCAACAAATTCCCCCTACCATCACATTTTTTTTTTTTTAACCAAGGTGTCCAGACTAACTTACGTATACATCAACTAATCCTCGGTGGAAACTAACGTAACAACCCACCATCACCGCCCCTCATTTAAATCTTGGGAGCCTAAGGGATTCGAACCTGAGATCGTACACCTTAACCATATATCTAAACCCTAGTGAGTAAATATGGGTACGGCAAAAAAAGGGTACAAGAATTTTACGGGTATAATATGGCAAACAGTGAAAAATACGTTTATAAAAATTCGGCCATAAAATTCGGATATGGGAAAAATACAGTACGGGTATATACGGGTTTAGTACGGTGCATTGTCAATAATACGTTTTGAAAAATACGGCAATATCAATCTTAGTTTTAACACTTTTATGGATTACCTAATTAAAATCAATATAGCATTTCAAATACAAAGTATTCAATTAACCAATAACACAAATATACATTATATAACTGATATTCAAATTATAGTCTCTAGACTCAAACACAATATTTAGCCATGATTCTTTACTAATTTAAAACTTGATAAGTTTGATATTAAATGCAACCAATTTTAACTTCTCATTAATCCATTAAATTATGTTAAATCAAGAACTAAAATTGTCTCACAAATCTATATAAAAGATTAGTGTTACAATGCAACCTGAAATATAAGATTAATCAATAAATAAAATAATTTCATAAAAGGATTTGTTAATCACTTATTCACACTAGCACCTACCGACTCACTCTCACTGTCTCACACCACACAGTTGCCGCAAAACCGCAAATCGTCATCAGCTCTTCCCACTTCCGCAAAGCCCAACCACCCATGGACCCTCACCCCTTCCTTCTTAGCACCTCCACCTTCCAGCGGATCCCCAGTGGCCACCCAGCCTACCTTCCTTTCCGAAATAACACTTTAAACTAAAATCATCAGCCACCAAAATCAGAATCAACAAATGAAAAAAAGTATAAAAGAAATCCTGAAATTCAATAGCGTGGATGAAAATCATTGGGAATTGTACTCGGTAAGGGGCTACGCTAGAAGTGGGGACGCGTGAGATGGTGGTTAATTCGTGAATAATCTCTTCCTTTGCCCACTGATTTCTTCTTCCCCCACCAAAATGACGTCGTTTCAATAAGTTTTTTTTGCTTTTGCAATAATTCGTGAATTATACGCGAATAGAGGTGGGCAAGGGACCGGTCCTTTGCGGGCCCAGGCCTGGGCCCATTTGGGACTGGTCCCTTGGGACTAGTCCCAAATGGGACTAGTCACTCATGGGCCTTGGACCGGTCCCAGGCCCATGAGAAAAACCAAGACCCGGATCAGGCCCTAGGCCTGGTCGGGACTGGTCCCGTGGGCCCAGGACCGGTCCCATGGGCTTGGATAATTTTATTTTCCCCCCTCAATTTTTTTTTATATTTTGGGGGCAAAACAAAATTTTATAGGGGGTTTTTAGTATTTTTTAGGGGTAAAATTTATAAATTTTATAAATTTTTTGGACCTAGAAGATTTTTTTTTTTTATAAATTTAGTAAAATTTCATTTTAACCCTCGTAATTTATATTTATTTTAAAATTAATAGAGGGTTTTATGTAATTTGGCAGGGGACTATATTGAAAAAATACAAAAAATTTGGGCCCAGGCCTGGGATCGGTCCCAGGCCCGGGCCTTGGAGGAGGGCCCAGTGGAGGGCCCGGGCCCTCCTCCTTAGGCCTGGTCCCGTTTTGGGACCAGGCCTCAAGGACCGGTCCTAGGACCGGGTTTTGGAGCTGGGCTTTTGGGCCCGGTCTCAAATGCCCAGCTCTATACGCGAATTATACGGATGTTCCAATAATTTGCGAATAATTCGGCAGTCATTTAAAAAGTACATAAATACGCGTTTTATATGCGAATTATACAGCTGGCTGTATAATTCGCATATAAAACGCGTATTTACTAACTAAGATCTCAACACTTGTCCCAACACTAGTGCATCCTGTTACACCATCTCTTTAATGGCATCACCACAACTTTAGCCGCCACCGCCCACCACCACCATCAGCACCCAAATTTTTTTTAAAAAAAAATTCTCCCGTCCACCCTTGTTATAGTAGCTCCTCAAAAACAATAGAAATTTGATCACCATGATAGCAACCATCGCCACCACCATAAAATTAGCCAATACCACCAACAAATTAAAAAGCACACTGACAAGAATTGGTAATGAAGATTATTGGTGGCCGTTGGATATATATAGGTGTAGATGAAGTGTTTTCCGATTTCGTTTTAATTTTGAGACCATATCAATTCTTTGATTTTTAGAATTCCTTTTCGTTAAGGGAATTTTAGACTTTAATAAAATATTATTTATTAGGTAGGGTGCATTTGGGGTTGTCGTAACTTTTCTTGTAATCTTTTTGTTACTGCTTGTTGCGGACGAAACTGAGAAAGTGAGAATGAGAAACTTTACGATTCTTGAAATTGAGAGGTTTAGGGTTAAGCGATTATTTTATATGTTTATTTTGAGGCTCTTAATCATATATTCTTATTTAAAAAGAAAAAAAGAAAAAAAAAGAAACTAGCATAGTCTCACCTAACTGTACACCAAACTGAGGGGCCAGGGTAATTGAATGATTCCCAAGAAGTCCATACGATGGTGGTCGCTGGCTTGTGGATTTAGACTTAGGTAATAGTCATTCTTTGGCTTTCTTTTCTATTATTCTTTGGTAGACTGGTTATATCTTTGTACTTCTGTATAGCCATACTGAATCATAACTCTTTGGGTGTTCATGGAAATGGATTAGATGCCTTCAACGACTGAAGCCAAGAGTAAATGTGCACCAATTGAGGTGAAGGCAAATTTCACTGTAGACTTTCGCAAGAATTCTGGTATTGTCTAATGTTTTATGCCCATCTTGTTTCTGTTCTTCAAATTCATATTTCTCCTATGTGTTTACATGATTCATTCTTATAGCCTAATAGCTGGGGCACTTGTTAAATACCCAATTGAGAATAAAACTTAGTTTTTCATTCTTTAATATATAAATTCATATATTTGCAGTTTCTAATTTTTTTTTTAATTTTTTTGTCATGTAGAACAGAAAACTTTGGAATACCCTATGATCTTGGAAAAGGGAAAATTTGTGCGTTGCCTATTGACCCATGGTGTCTGGCCACTAGATTTTGATATACATCTCCCAACATGTGAGAATCTTGAATTCTTGGAAATCAATAGCAATTCCTCTTTGGCATACTTGCTAGAATACAAGCCATTTGGTACTGCTCTTAAAAAACTTAAGATCAGTAAATGTCCCGATCTTGTTCTCCATCTTCACCGGATGGAACTCACCTCTCTTGAGCCTTTGGAGTTCAATAGTTGTTTCTTTCTCTCTTGCTCAATCCAAGACTATTTTCCTCTCACTCTTAAAAAATTGAAGATCGTGAATTGCCCAAATTCAGAATTAGTACTCAAGGTATTGATGGAACAAAAAGGTTTGTCCATTAAATCCTTGTTGATAGAAGGTTGTTCTTCACTCTTCTCCATTCTAATGGACAAGTTACCTTCCACTATCAGACACCTAAAGATAGAAATTGTGTCAATTTGACATCGTTCAGTGCATCTCTGAGATAACAAAAGATCCTTCTGTCGTTTTTTATGTTGAAGATGATTCAAATTTACCGAATTTGGCCTTATTTAGGGCCCTAGATCTTAGAGAGTTAGAGATTTGGAATTGTCCAAATCTTGAGCTCTTACCCGAGGGCTTGCTCAACATCAAGAATCTTGAGCTACTGTCATTAAGTAATTGCTTTAGTCTTGTGTGTTTCTGATGGGACTTGGATAATGAGGGTGTAGGAAAAGTGAAATAAGATAGCAAGCAGTGGATTGAAGGGATGTTGGCAGGAAACTTCCATGGGCTTAGGCTAGGACAGGTGGCGATTGGGGGTTGGGATAGCAAGAGAATTCAGTTCGGGAGAGAGAGGGAGAGAGCTGGAGGATAAAAAGAGAGGGAGAGAGCTGGAGGATAAAAAGAGAGGGAGAGAGCATATTAGGGCAGAGAAGAATATAGGGAAATTTGGGAGGAGCTAAACCTTGAAGTTAGCAATTAGGGAGGAGTTGACCCTTGAAGTCCAGCATTGTTTTTCTTTTCATGTTTTGATTTTCTCCTTTTGGGTTGATGTGCTGGGTATATTTTGTTGTTTGCTACCATTGTTATCAATTTGTTGAATATCAATACACATATCTATTTTCTTCCTATTTCTTGGTTGTTGGCTGTTATTATTTTACTGTTTTGTTGAGTTTTTGGAGTGGGTTCTCATTAATTGGTATCAGAGCAGATTGGTTGTGGGATGTTTGGTACAAGAATGGAAGTTAGAATGGCAAATGTTGAGAGGGAAGTGTCAAAACTTGGGAGAGATATTGGTGTTGTTCTGGATGGTTTGATGGAAATACGAGCTTGGATGAGAAGGAAAGATAAATAAGAAGTAAGGAGAAGAGATCGAGAGAAATCATCGGAAGTTCCATAGTCACGGGAACTATTGACAACCAAAATATGGGAAATCAAACGGAGGTAGGAGGAACTTATGAATCTATTCAGCAGTAGAAGTGTTGGAGGAAGATCAGAGTAAGTTTGAGGTTGTTTCAGCCCTATTAAGTGAAGAGAAAGAAGAAATTTTGAGGGCTACTGTTGTAACTAGGCTGAAACCTGAAATTAGGGTTGAAAAAAGATTGGGCAATCCAACTCAATAGTCCAATTAATTAAGTTGGCCCAAAGAATAGACGAAAAAAATTGGG